AGATTACCACAGAGTCAGAGGCTGGAGTGGTAACTGGGCATCTCTCTGTCTCAAACAAGGAGACAGGTTCTACTTAGGCCTGGTAACCTGGGTTTGGTCTTCAATGCCTATATAGTGAAGAGAGAAAACCAACTCCATAAAGGTATGCTCGTACCTCCTCACGTGTAGCATGGCATTTATGAGTGGTCCCATGTGCCTACTTTCACCTGTGTTGGGGCAAGCATGAACACACACACACACACACACACACACACACACACACACACACTTCTATTCCCTGCTCTCCCAATGCAGCATCTGGTAGGAGTCAGGACGAAGCTAGCAGGCAGGCATCAGACCCCTGGTAAAGCCAAAGTGGTTTTGATGGAGTGTGCTGTGCTTTCTTGTAGCAGACACTAGTGCACACAGCATCAGCCCTCAGGCTGGGTAGCAATTGGGCAGTGTGATCAAGTCCACCATCCCCAGGAGCCATTCCTTGTTAGAGTACAACTATGGGTGCTACTGTGCCATTGGGGGCTCAGACACTCCAGTGGACAAGTGATCCATCAGGTGGGAGACAGGAGCATCGGAGTGGGAACAGGGCACAATCAGAGCATCTCATGAGACAAGTACAGGAGACATGGAAGTTCACCAACATCATATATTTTGTTTTGTTTCTTTATTATTTTTGTTTATATGTTTCCAGACAAGGAGTTTCTGTGTGGCTCCAGGTTTCCTGGAACTCTTTCAGGAGACCATGCTGACTTAAAACTCAGAGACCCATCTGCATCTGACTCCCAAATACTGAGATTAATGGTGGACACCACCACACCCCACAGAAGTTGCTTTCCTTAAATATATGTTTAATAGAAATAAGATTCTCAAGCCTCATGACCATTTCTTCTGCTCATCATGTTTAAATCATTCTGCCATGTTTGAGAAAGACTGCAGGTGAGAACTGACCTCCTGTGGGTCCATACTCCTTCCTCAGCTGTTCCATCCTCTCTCCAGGTGCTGCCAGACTCATGACCATTGCTATAATCAGGTCAAGAAGCTGGGAAGCTGCAAATTCCACATAGATGAGTTGGCATCCTGTGTCTTCTTCAGTCACTCTCCACCATGTCTTTAGAGCCTGGGACTCTCAATAACAAGACACTCACCTGTAGCTAGCCTGACTGACCAACAAGTTTTGGGGATACCTGCTCTTTATATAACTGCTCTTTTTTGACTTACAGATGCTCCAATCACATCTTGCCTTTCACAAGGGCTCTGGGCATCCTAGGCCAAGCCTGCATTCGCTTTTGGCAACGGCTTTACCACCTGTGCAGTTGGAGCCCACATTAGTTTCCAAGTTAGATCTGAGCTTTCTTTACACATCAGGGCTTCATTGGGGGATGGCTTGACCATGTGCTTGGTCACCAGGTGTCTGAGATGGTCTGCACTTGGCTTTGCTGTGGAGAGGTCTTTTACTCCACCCCTTGGCTTTCCTTTAAAAGCCCTTTGGCAGAGACAGCCAGAGCCCAAGGGATTAGAATCTAGGCCCTCCCAATGCTACCCTGTGTTTTCGGTCTGTCTCTGTCTAGTTATATTTCTATCTAATATTTCCTGCTGCTCCTACTCAAGAGTACCCTGTGGAAAAGTCGGGGTGAGATGGCCCCCACACTGTGCCATCTCCCCAGCCACACAACAAATGATTTTCTTTTATTATAAATGTGTTCCAACTATTTGGGCACCCAATGCACTTTTGTGTCTTTGACTCTCAACCCTAAGTCTGCCCAAATGGCAGTTCCACTGGTTTCTTTTGGTTACAAATTGTAAGGAGCAGGAACATGGGCTCCGATCAACTTTCTTTTTTATTTCTCTGCAAACAAGAACAACCCCTGTGAGGACTTCATCTCCGACTGTGACCACCAGGCTGCCATCTGCTTCTACAACACTCCATACACCAAGCATTACAAAAGCATTCACTATTAGAATTGTCACCTCAGTGACTGGCACACCTTCCCTGCCTGCCTACTTCTGTTCACTACACACTGCACCCTCTATAATGCAACTATAGAAAGAACTCTACTTTGGTGGTTGTATTCTCTGTCAACCAAACATTTCTAGATCCTCAGAAACATCATTCCATCTAGGCCTGGAAACTGAAGATTAATGGAAAAGACATTGCCATTAGGGGAGCACCTTGAAGAGTGGGTGATGAACCTGGCCAATTCTTTTATCCCAGCACACTGTGGTGGAGAGGAAGAGGCAGAAGCAGAGTCAGGAAAATCTCTTGAGTTCAAAGCCAACGAGGTTTGAAAATTGAGGTCCAGGCCAACCAGGACTATTACACCAAGAAATCCTCTCTGGAAAAATAAAGAAAAAAGGAAGAGAAGGATCAGGAGGAGGAGAAGAGGTGGAGGAGAATGGGAGAGAAGAAGAAGGGTTGGGACAGATGAGGCAGGAAAGAGGACAGGAGGGGATAGGAGGGGTGGGAAGGGAAGGGAACTCAGAGGGGAAGAGGAGAAAGAAAGAAGAGGTGTCACAGTGGCACTAAAGAAACTTCTTATCCCCCAAAATACCGGACTCAAAGGGATTCTGCTGAGTGCTCACCACAGGATGTTGGATATAGGAAACCAAACTGGACTGACATTAAATGTCCTGAAGGCAGGATTACAGCCTGGTGACTTTCCAGTCTTCACTGTGCCTAAACACACACCACAGGACAGTTGTCCCTCTAAAGTACACAGCAGCCTAACTTTTTAAATAAACAAAACAGAACACATTGTCTTCTCTAACTTTCTCTATCACAGGATCCCATAGGTAAAGTTAGGTTAATCTCTGGTTTTCTGGTCAACCAGATTCAGGAAAAAGATTTCTCATTGGTTAATGGCTATGTGGTTCTCATTCTCTCTTTTCCTTTAGTGAACAGCTGCCCATTCCTCTGTCTTTGCACCACTAACCTCATTTCTACTCCTCCCCAAAAGTCAGGCCTCACCCCTGGCAAGGTCAGTTCTGGTGAGCAACAGGTGCAGCTAGAGCCACCTGGGCAGGCGCAGTGACCTGTAGTGGCTGGTTGTGACTGTCCAGAGTCCTGCTGGAAGGATCAGAGATATTGAGTGCGGAGACAAGCAACTCAAATCATCACCTAGTGGTTGTTATCCAGGTAAGAGTTCAGAAGTGGGGAGAAGGAGGTGCTGGGGTGCTAAGTTAGAGGCTACATGACAGATGGCCATTCACAGAAGGGAGAAAGCAATGGGCCAGGAGACACTGTTCTCCAGCTACCATGTAGTTGCTGAGAATAGAACCCATTCTTCAGGCAGAGCAGAAAGTGCTCTTAGGTCTGAGCCATCTCTCCAGCCCCTGCAGTGGTTGATTGTCAGCTTCACACACTGGGTAGGGAAAGCCTCAGCTGAAGGATGGCCTGCACAATATTGGCCTGTGGGCACATGTTGAGCATTTACATTTTTTCTTTCTTTTTCATTTTTTAGGTGTTGGTTTCTTTTTTTTAGATTAAGAAATTTTTTTCATTCATTTTACACACCACAGATCGCCCTCTTCCCTCCTCCTACCCCTGATCGTTTACCCCAACCCACCCCACACAAAAAGGCAAGGCCTCCCGTGGGAAGGCTCATCCAGTAGAGGAAAGTCCAATCCCTTCCATGCCGCCTCAAGGCTGTACTGGGTTTCCCATCATAGGTAGTGGGCTCCAAAAAGCCTGCTCAAGCACCAGGGGCCCCACCAAGAATATCAAGCTACACAATTGTCTTAATCATGCAGAAGGCCTAGTCCAGTCCCATGCAGGCTCCACAGCTATTGATCCAACTTTCATGAGTTCCCACTAGTTTGGTTTGGTCATTTCTGCAGGATCTGCTTCATAATCCTAATGCATTTGCTCATAAAATCCCTCCTCTCTCTCTCCTACTGGACTCCTGGAGCTCTGCCTGATGTTCGGCTGTGGATCTCTGCATCTGCCTCCATCAGTCAATGGAGAAAAGTTCTGTGATGACAGTCACGGTATTCACCGATCTGATCACTGAAACAAGCCAGTTAAGTTCAGGCACCCTCTCCACTGTTTCTAGTAGTCCAAGCTGATATGAATCCTTGGGGATTCTGGGCAACTTCTCTAGTTTTTTGGGCTAGGGTTTCTTGGTGTATCTCTGGATGTCCTGGAACTCACTTTGTAGACCTGGCTGGCCTCAAACTCAGGTATTCACCTGCCTCTGCTTTTGATTTCTGACATTAGAGGTGTGCATCACCACCACCTGCTACATTCCTGGTTCTTAAATGGAGTTTGAAGGCTGGTAAGATGCAGCCTATGATGCAAGCCTGTAGACCTGAGTTTGATTCCTTAAAGGTAGAAGGAGAGACCTGACTCCTCAGAGTTGTCCTCTGCCCTCCACATGTGATCACAAGGGCTATCTCTCTGTCTCTATCTCTATCTCTGTCTCTGTCTCTGTCTGTCTGTCTGTCTGTCTCTCTTTGTCTGTCCTTCTGTCTCTCTCACTCTCTCTAACCTACCCAACTATCCACACACAAAAACATACATACATTAATTAGTTAATTAATTAAAGGTTAAATTTGTGACTGGATCTACCTCAAACGTTGTCTCAGGTTCTTGGGGACACACTTTCCACTTCATTTATACAGTTAACAGGGAGAATTGTAGGGGACAGCTACTCCTTCTTGGAACCACACATCACTATGAGCATCCCTCAGACCCAATTCCAGGAGCAATGTCTATAACTTCTAGGACCTCAAAGCATTCATGTGGGAGGGACCTGGCACTTTGCCAGTCACTGACTTGAGCTGGTTGGGGTGTTGATCTAGCCCTTTCTCTGTGCCTCTCTGACAGCACTGATTCAGGCTCTGTCACTATCTACAGCAGCTCTGCCGGTCGGGACTGTGTGTGAGGGTGCACACATTCTACTTCTGGGCTACACACACAGTAGTCACAGGCCCCGTGTGCTGACTGGACACTGTCAGAGCGCAGCTACAGGACTATAAAGAGAAGTCACTGAGACCTTCCCTCACTCAGGATGAAACTCCTTCTGCTGGTCACTCTGCTCACAGGTAGGACTCTTGTCCTTTCTGAATTCCCCACATCTCCCTTGTCTTAAATGCACAGCACATCTGGTACACCTGAATTTCTGGTTTGGGATTCCTGTTGGGGTCTAATAGCCTGTGGGTTGGGGTTCCATGTCCACCCCATGCCCATGACAGTTGGCACCTTTACTCTCTATGTCTGAACTGAGATTATCCCTTAGAAATGTCCACTACACTCACCGACCAGGCAGAGAAAGCCCCTTCTGCCTCTGCCATATTGCACTGGCACTGATTTCCTTGGCCCTCAGGTGCCCTGGATATTTGAATGTTCTTGTCTTTTAAAAATATTTATTTTTATTTTATGTGTATGAGTGTTTTGCCAGCATGTGTGTCTGTGAACTATGGTGAGAAGTGCCTTCAGAGGCCAGAAGATGGGTTTAAATGTCCAGAACTGGGGTCATAGACAGTTGTGAGCTGCCATATGGATGCTGGAACTGAGCCTGGGTTCCTTCCAAGTTCAGCAAGTGCTCCTGACTGCAGAGCCATCTCTCCAGCTCTTATTTTTTTATGACATTATCATGTGGCTCAGGATGTCCTCAACCTCAACACTATAGCCCAGACTTGCCTCAACCACCCAAGTGTTAAGATTACAAACATGGGTAACTTGCTTCTACAATTCAGTTTTCACACTATTTTATGGAGACAGGGTTTCTCTGTGTAGCCATGGCTGTCCTGGTACTCACTCTATAGACAAGACTGGTGTAGAGCTGAGATGTCCACCTGCCTCTGTGTCCAGAGTGTTGGGATTAAAGTCCTGCAACACTATTCCCTGGCAACCTTGAACTTCTGATCGTCTAGCATCTCCCTACAGAATGCTGGGATTATGTAGTATATGTGTTCCACTGTACCTGGCTTCTCCTTCATTTTAATGCTGACCAAGTATCTCACTGCAGACTGAATCGTGGTTTATTTTCCTACTCCTCAGCTGATGAACAGTTTGTCAAATGCTGACATTACAAGGATGATCTGACCATTATCCTTGTCTATGAGCTGTGCATGGCCACACAATAGATTACTTCTAATTCTTCCAGTATAAAAAAATAAGCATGTATTGGTTGCTTCTCTGGCTCAAGGTCTGAGCTAGAACTGTGATGAATCCCACTGGTGGCTACTGCTAGGGTTTCATCTAGGCTTGAGTAGGGGTGGGGCAGCTTTCAAACTCAAGAGATGGTTGGATTGTTGGGTTATTGAACTAAGAGGTCAGTTTGTCACTGGCTGCTACTGGAGAGTGTTCTCAGCTGCTCAACACAGAGACCCACAGGGCAGCTCACAGTGTGGTGTCTCTCTGTCCTGACAGTTAGAAATGAGCAGGCAAGCAAAGCAAAGGGCAATGTCTATGAACTCAGTCCTGGGGAGTCAGCCCAGCCAGGTACAGTGGTGTTCATTTGTAATGCTACCACTGAGGCCAGAGGTTTGCTTCAAAGTCAGAAGCTAGACTGGGTTACAGGGCAACTCCCTGTCTCAAATTGATAGACACCTTCCTGCTCAGGCCTGGCTGCTCTCTGATATCCTCATGTGTACCATGACATTTATGAGTGCTCCCAAGGGCTTCCTTTCAACCTGTGTTTGGGCTAACACACACACACACACACACACACACACACACACCCTTTTATTCACTGCTCTCCTGAGGCAGCAGCTGGTAGGAGTCAAGGAGGAAGTGTCAGGAGTGATGGTCATGATCTATTGTGGGCCATGATGCAATTACAGTTGTAGTAATTGATAGTTCAGATGTCACCAAATGAGAGCACTGATTCTCAGATGAAGTACCCTGTCAGGCAAGGCTTGTAGGTCACCAACTCTGAAAATGTTGCTTTCATCTGTAATTTCACTTGTGCAAGAACAGCTATAACATCTCCCCATTTGCCATGCATTTTCATGTAATGTGCACCTGTAATCTCGTGATTCCATCTCAGTCTTATGGGCACACATATATCCATGTCTTTCATTTCCTCTAGCATCCTGATCTGAACCCTGAAGAGGACTTTGAGGCTGGACCTCAAAGGCTCTCTATAAGGAAGCTAGCAGGCAGGTATCAGACCCCTGGTAAAGCCAAGAGGTATTCATGGAGTGTGCTGTGCATTCTTATAGCTGGATCTACTACATTCAGAATCAGCCCTCAGGCTGGGTGGCAGTTTGGCAATGTGTTCGAGTGCAAAATCCCTTTAATTTTCCCCATGTCGGAGTATAACTACTATGGCTGCTACTGTGGCTTTGCCATCTGGAACAACTGGGTGGAAGACTTAGACAGGTGAGTGATTCATCTGGGGGGAGACTGGAGCATCTGAGTTGGTGGGGACAGGACACAAGCAGAATATCTCATAAGGCAAGAATAGGAGACATGCATATTCACCGTAATCATGTATTTTGTTTTGTTTATTTATTATTTATTTATTTATTGTTTGTTTTCCAGACAAGAGTTCTCTGTGTAGCTCTAGTTGTCCTAGAACTTTCTGTGGAGATCATGCTGGCCTTGAACCAGAGATCTTCTAGCCTCTGCCTTCTGAGTGCTGAGATTTAAGGTGGGCATCACCACACCCAGCATGTATTTTCACCTCTTTTCATGTAAAGAAATTAGTCCAAGAGAACCCTGTATCTAGTTGTCCCTGAACAGAATGTGTGAGATGTAAATAGTGTGCAATGCTGGACTCAGACACCAGACTAGGGCATAGGCAACCATCACAGCCACCATCAAAACATCAGCTTTCTCTTTAAAATGTCATCGAAACTTTGGAATATATAATTTCACTATGTTCTTGCACCTTTGTTTAAAAAAAAACACTTTTTGATGCAGGGTCTCACTTATGTGTCCCTGGCTGATCTCAAACTTAGAGAATCGTCTGCCTCTGTCTCCCAAGTACTGAGAATAAAGGCTGGTACTGACCACACTCCACAGAAATGGCTTTCAATAAATATGTGCTAAACAGAAGTCACAGATTTTCAAGCCTGAGGAAGATTACTTCTGGAATATCATGTTTAAGTCATTCTGACATGTTTGAGAAAGACTGCAGGTGAGAACTGACCTCCTGTGGGTCCATAGTCCTCCCTCAGCTGTTCCTTCCTCTCTCCAGGTGCTGTCAGATTCGTGACCACTGCCATGCTCAGGTCAAGAAGCTGGAAAACTGCAAATTCCTCTTAGACAACCCCTATATCACCTCCTATACGTACTCATGTTCTGGGAATGAGGTCACCTGCAGTGGTAGGTTTACCCTCCAGGACCTCAGGACTCTGCGTGGTCCTGTATCAATTGCCTTATGGAGAGCCTGCTCCAAGGCCACCTCCAGGGAATTGCAAGAAAGTCCACAAATGTGGTGAGGGCTTATGAAAAGTTCTTATGTATCTGTGGACTAGACTTAGTCTATCTGAGTGGTAAATAGTAAGGAAACACAAACGCTTTCTGATGATAACTTTCTCTTTTATTTCAACTTAAAAAATCCTCTCTCCTAAATGCTCTCTCTGAAAATCTCTGTCTCCACACAGTTACATCACTTTACATACAGCTACATTTTCCACACACACTTACACAACTCCCTTTTCTCTCTGATAATCTCTCTTGCTTTCTCTCCTGCCTAGCTATTTATGTTCTCTCCTCAGCTCCTACACACACACACACACACACACACACACACACACACACACACACACACACACACTGACACACACACACACACACTGACACACTAACACACACACACCCTCACTCACAGCTGCTCTTCCCACAGTTCCTTCACACAGCTTTTCCTCCATGGCAACAGCTCCTTCCCCCAGCTCTACACAGTCGTCTCTCTCCACACCACAGCTGCTGACTCACAGCCAAGCTCTGGACAATTATAAGTTACATTTTCAGGGCCCTACCCATTCTCACAACACAAGATAAGTCACATAGTTTCTCTTAGGATAGTAACATCACACTGACCCACTCACATAGCTCTAAGTTAGTAAACAGACAGTAAACAATTGGCTGAACCTTGAGCTGTCAGGGTTTGTGCAGAAAGAGAACTACTGCAAGGAGCTATGTATCAATGTAAACAGACTGGCCATGATTTAGCAATGACAACACCTGGCAATTAGTCTTTAAGCATTTTCTGCAGGGGCAGTTTAGTCTGTTTTAAATTTTTTTTCTGAAGTTCAAAATTGGCTGTGTAAAAGGCTGTCTTTATGATTGAGAATTCTATGTCAGTCTGAGTAATGTAAAATATTCTAGTACTGTTTCTACATATCAAATTTATACAGCTTAAACAGGTATCATCTTTCAAAATATCCACTGTTATAAATGTGCCCAAAGATGCAATATATTCTTGAGATAAACACACAAGCAGTGGGAAAATGCCCCTAGCAGTTCTTAGGGAAGAAATGTAGTGGCACATGAGAAAAATTACAGACAGAAAAACAACTGGTTTCTACATCCAGTGACCCCATGGCCTCCCAGGTGGGGCTCCCCATCAGGTAGGTCTGGAGGGTCCATCTGTTAAACATTAGTTGTCACTGATGTGCATTCCCACAGCCCCCACAGCCCTGTGTGGTGATATATTGTGCATCAAATAAGGCTTGCCTGAGGATCAGAGGACAGAGCCAGCCACCAGATTAAACATGGAGGTCCAGCAGTGGTGGCACACACCTTTAATCCTAGCACTCAGGAGGCAGAGATTTGTCTGGATCTCTGTGAGCTCAAAGCCACCTTGACTACATGAGATTGACTCAGTCTGGGAGAGAATCAGAGCCAGGCAGTGATGGCACACGCCTTCACCGTAGCACTTGAGATCTCATGCCTTTGCAACCAGTATTTGGGAAGCACACACACCATTAATCCCAGCACTAGGGAGGAAGTGGAATGGCTGCATAGAGAAAGGTATAGAAGGCACGAGGAGACAGGTACCAGGGCCTTTTTGATTGAGGAAGCTTTTCAACTGAGGACTCAGAGACTTTCAGTCGGGATTCATGGAGATAGGATCTCACCTTCTATTCAGTCTGAGGATTCAGCAGTGGTGAGAAGTCTCTCTAGTGGCTTGTTCCTTTGTCTCTCTGATCTTTCAGCACTTACCCCAATATCTGGCTCTGGGATTTTTTTATGAGACCATTTAAAATTCATGCAACATCTGGTGCCCAACATGGGGCTTGAACTTAAGACTCTGAGATTAAGAGTCTCATGCTCTACCAACTGACCATTTAAACTCTGTGTAACACCCTGGCATTTTATAAGGGGCACGAAAGTCAAAAGGACAGTCACCATTTAGTGGTCATTTCCTTGGTCTCATGTGACCTCACAACAGCCTTATCAGCTAGATAATAAATAATAGATGAGGTCACTGATGAGGAAGATGAGGAAGGCAGGGCCACTTGCCCAAGGTCACCCAGTTTAGAAGTGATAACATTAGGTTCTGGAACACAGATCTACATCATTCCAAAGTATCTTTTTAAAAAAAATTTCAAGATTTTATATATTTATGGGGGAGGCATGCCTGTGCCACAACACAGGTGCAGAAGTCTGAGGACAATGTGTCTGTTCTCTCTTTCAACCATGTGAGTCCTGTGGATGGAACTCTTATTCAGACTTGGCAGCAAGTGTCTTTATTCCCTGAGCCATTTTGCCTGTTCAAAGCCTCTCCTGTTAGCTGCTGTGTTATACTGATTCCAAATTGACCCAACAATGGAGAGCTGCATCATTATATAAGTCAGATACTGGACTAAACACCTATGCAGAGCAAGAATTATCATTCCCATTTTACAGGTGAAGATTCAGAGGCTATAAATATAGTTCAGTGACTAGAATGCTTGCCTAGCATGCACAGAGGCCTGGGTTCTACCTCCAGAATACATGAATAGAGTGTCATGGTGCACACCTGTAATCCCAACACTTGAGAGGTTTAGTCAGGAGGATTGTCTTAAATCATGTAATTTCAGAAGTGCTAGTTAATATTTGCTGTCTTCTGAGTTTTAGGATTAAATATCCATGTTTATTTCTTTTTATGTACAGGAATGAGTTTGCACCCTGTGTCTTCTTCAGTCACTCTCCACCCTGTCTTTAGAGGCTGGGTTTCTCACTAAACAGGACACTCACCTTTACCTAGCCTGACTGACCAACAAGTTGTGGGGACCAGTATTCCCCACTTCCCAGTAGAGTTACAGATGCTCCAAGCACACCTTGCTTTTTACATGGGCTCTGTGCATTCTAGTTCAGTCCCTCAGGCTTTTTGACAACCACTTTACCAACCACACTGTCATTTTAGCCCACAACAAATGATTTTTTTTTTTACTGTAAGTGTGTTCCAGCAATTTGGACAACCCAATGTCCTTTTGTGTGCTTTGTCTCTCAACCCAAAGCCTGCACCCTTGGGAGGGCCACTGGTTTCTTTTGGCTACAAATCATAGGGAGCAGGATCATGGGCTCCACTCAGCTTCCTTTCCTGTTTCTCTCCAGGCAGAAACAACACCTGTGAGGACATGATCTGCAACTGTGACCGCCAGGCTGCTACCTGCTTCTCCCAAGCTCCATACAACAAGGGGCACAAAGGTGTTTACTGTTAGACTTGTCACCTCAGTGACTGCCTACACCATCCCTGCCTGCCTGGTTGTGGTCACTACACACTGTGCCCTCTAATAAAGCACATCTAGAAAGAACCCAGCTTTGGTGATTGTATTCTCTGTCTATGGAACATAACTAGATCCTCAGAGAACATCATTCACTCAGCCCTGGAAGCTGCAGATCAATAGGAAAGATGTTTCCAGGAAGCAAGCACCTTGAAGAGTGGGTGATGAGCAGTTTTCATCCCAGTTTCTGGAGTGCAGGGGCAGGCAGATCTCTTGAGTTCAAGACACATCTGGTCTAAAAAGTAAGTTCTAGGACATCCAGGGCTGTTACACAAAGAAACTCTGTCTTAAAAAAACAATCAAACAAACAGATAAATAAATAAATAAATAAATAAATAAATAAATAAATAAATAAATAAATAATTAGAAGCCTGCCTGAGATACATAATTGGTAGTGGGTACAGAAAGGGGAAGAGAATGGAGAGATGAGGAAGGTAAAGGAGAAAAAGGAGGGGGAAGGGTGAGGAGGAAGACAGAGAGGAGGAAGGGAGAGAAGAGAGAAAGATGCAGTGTCATATGGGCACTAAAGGAACATCTTGTCTCCAGAAATACTAAACTTGCTGGGTGGTATCCATACAGGCCTTTAATGGTGGCACTGGAGATGCAGAGATAGGTGGATCTCTGCAAGTTTGAGGCCACCCAGGTCTATAGAGCTAGTTCCAGGACATGCCCCAAAGCTACAGAGAAACCTTGACTCAAAAAAAATCCTCCCCTCAAAAAACACTGGACTCAAAGTGCTTCTGCTGTGTGCTCCTCATAAGGAACTGGATATAGGAGCTGGAGAGATGGATCAGAGGTTAAGAGCACCATGTTCTTCCAGAGGTCCTGAGTTCAGTCCCCAGCAACTACATGATGGCTCACAACCATCTATAAGAGATCTGGTTCTGTCTTCTGGTCTGCAGCCATACATCCAGAACACATAATAAACAAACAAGCAAACAAACAAATAAAAGAAAATCTTTTAAAAAAGAAGTTGGGAATCTTGCATGATACCACTACACCAGCGGCACTGTTTATGTTTCTTATTCTCACGTGTTTGAGAAAGACTGCAGGTGAGAACTGACCTCCTGCGGGTCCATACTCCTCCCTCAGCTGTTCCTTCCTCTCTCCAGGTGCTGCCGGACTTGTGACCACTGGTATGCTCAGGTCTATAACCTGGAAATTCCAAATTCTTTATAGATAACCCCTCTATCAGCTCCTACTCATGCCTGTGTTCTGGGAAGGAGATCGCCTGCAGTGGTAGGTTTACCCTTCGGGACCTCTGGGTTTTGCCCTCGGCAGCTTTGGAACAGACAGGGAAGTAACAAGGACAGTCACTATTTAACAGTCATTTTCTTGGTCTCATATGACCTCACAACAGCTTTATCAGGTAGACACTAAAATATAGATGAGGTCACTGATGAGGAAGATGAGGAAGGCAGGGCCACTTGCCCAAGGTCACCCAGCTTAGAAGTGATGACATTTGGTGTGGGGAGAAAAGGAGTCAGCCGGGCTGGTAGGGCCACAGCTGCCTTGGAAGTGTTTTCAGTCCCTTCAGAAGTGAGTGTTGGGACCCCTCTCCCTTTCCCTTTCTTTCTCTGTCTGCCCACACTCCCTCTCCAGCTTCTACCCCTCCACCTCAATGTCCTTGGCAGGAACTCTGCACTCTGGCTTGCCATATTCAGATCCTCCCTCCATCCCTGACCCTTCACACATCTGCTCCTGCTCCTTCCCTGCTATGTAGGTGCCCACCAGAGGCTTATCCTGTTAATCTGGGACCAAATGATGTAATCAGCCATGGGTGCTTATCCCCCTGACTGAACTTCTGCTCATATGCCACGCAGTCAATGAGTCTGGTCCAGACTCCCCCTATTTTGACCAAGTCCTTAGACAGTGGGCTTTGCAATTACAAACCCACCATGGCTGATACCACCCTCTTAATGCTATTTTAGAACCTGCTGCTTTTCTCAATTGGCGATGTGCATATGATGACCAGGCGGAAGGCCCAGGCCCGTCTCAACTTATAGTATGGGCTTAACATCACTCTAGACATGCTCACTGGGAGAGGCCAATATATTTATCCTGTCTCATAATATACCATTGGCCAGTATGTCTACTTTCAGCAGGTCTCTGATTTGGTCTTTAAGGCTGTTAAGGCATGTGCCCCTTGTGACTTCCATAATTTTATCCAGCAACCCAAGGAGTCTTTCACTGACTTCCTCACTCGAGTAACTGAGGCAGTTGAATGAAGGGTAGATCTTGGCCCTACTTGGGAGATGCTGATCAAGCTATTGACATGGGGGGGCTTAATATCTCAACATGTAATGTAGTAACTGCAGTATGCAATGAGGAAATTCATAAATGGGTCTTGGTCACTAGAGCTCAGAGCTGGCCACGTCGTTGCCCTGACCATCTCTCTTCACACCCTCTTATCTGACCGACCACCATCCTCAGATCCCCAGGCTCCTACCACTCCAACAGACCACATTTGTTGGGGCTGTGGTAAACTTGGCCATTTGGGGCGCTGTATTGGATAACTGTTTTGTCTATGACCTTGAAGCACCACCCCAGAGATGCAGCAGGTAACTGCTCTATCTGTCTATGACCTTGAAGTACATGCCCCTGAGGCATGGCCTCTCAGCCACACTTAAGACCTGAGATGCACATAGGCACTTTCCCTCATGGGTTTGGATGAGGGACTGACTCAGGCACCTGGAAGAGTGTTCTGGAACCTTCGACAATTCTGTTCTGTATAGTGAGTTTTTCTCCCCTAATAAATTCCTTGCCCTTTAAGCAGACTCCATGGATTTCTCACTATACAGCATGACTGTCCTAATTCATGATAAAGTCATGCTGTCCCAAGTATAACAAGGGCTTCCATTGGGCCAAGGATGCTGCTCACAGCCTTCAAACAATGTAACTCCTTTAAACTCCCAGGGGAGCGGTCCTCAGCCAGTAAGAGGGAATGGTCCTACCCTAAAGTATGCTGGACTCTGCCTGTTTTCCCACACTCAGCCATGATGACTGTATACCCTGATGGCTCACTCGTTAAAGGGCTGGTGGACATGGGTGCGGATGTCACCATCCTTACAGAGACTGAGATTCTTTGGTTTCCTCACTGGAAGTTCTGACCTGGCTCTGCCATCAGCAGCATGGGAGGCCAACAAAATACCCTCGCTACCATGTGCCCTGTCCACTGGAAGGATCTGGATGGCAATCAGGGCTCTCTTTCTCCAGTCATAGCTAATGTCCCTTGCAACTTATGGGGAAGGGACATTCTGGAAGACATGAAGGTCAACCTTACTATGGACAACTGTGCCTTTTATGATATCATCATCCATGATAAAATAGGCTTGTCAGGTCAAATACCATCCTCCCCACCCCTTCTTGCTGGCCAGCACCTCCAATTCTAGAGGCCACTGCCCATCAGGAGCCTGGGGTTAACACAACATCACAACCCACACCCCTGTCATGACTCAATGATGATGATGTTTGGGTGGAGCAGTGGCTGATTATTGAACCTAAATTGACTGCATTAAAAAATGTAGTCCAAGAATAACTAGATCTGGGACATTTGGAATCCTCTACTAGGCACAACAATTTTTTGTGATTAAAAAGAAATCAAGCTACTATGGCTCCTCCAAGACCTGCATGCTGTTAATGCTCAAATGAAAAAAATGGAATCCACCCAGCCAGGTCTCCTACATCCCGGTGTTATTCTGTTGGTCTATCATGTTGTTGTGTTAGATATTAAAGGTTGCTTTTTCCAGATCCCATTAGTACCCATAGATAGAAGGCGCTTTGCCTTTACCATCTGGGAGCCTAACATGCACAAGCCTGCACAGAGATTTCAATGGACCATTTTACCCCAGGGCATGAAAAATAGCCCCAAATCTGCCAGTTATGTGTCTCAGAGGCCATGAAAAATGTACCAAATGATGTCTTACTGGTCTGTTCCATGGAGGATATCCTTGTCACTCATCCCAAGCCCCATTACTTAAAAGCAGTTTCTTGATCACTCCTTAAGGATCTTACTGTTCTAAATTTACATGTTGCTCTGGAAAAGATTCAATTTGTTCTCCCTTATGCCTTTTTGGGGTTCTTGACTGCAAAACAAATCCACCCACTCTCTTTCACTTTAGCATCTAAGACTCACCATTCGCTTACCGAGTTGAAACAATTATGTGGCACAGTCAGTTGGCTCAAGACATTCCAGAACATGAAATGCTATGCCTTTCCTCTCTATTGGAAGGGCCTGGCTGCCCACCTGCAAAAATACAGCTAACCCCACAAGCGCTTGCTCTCCTTGGTAAGATTGCTTTGCTTTTGTCCTCAGCATCTTTGAAAGACATGACCCCGATAAATCCCTTCAAGCCATAGCATTGTGGACACTTTCACGTTTCTTGGGAGGGGGGGTCCTATGGTAACAGGGACCCCTATGTGAGTACATTAGTCCTCTTTTGACCTTCACAAGGCCAACTCAAAATTTGAGCAGACCTTTCATTTGGGCTTAAAGGCTCAGACGCTGGGTTGCAGGACCTATAACTGTGAGCCAGACAAGTCATCCTCCCCTTGTCCCTGAGATATTCCCAGTCCCTCTGGGCTGATTCCATGAGCTTCCAGGAGATGATCACTGGATTTCCTCACATTATCCATAATCAACCTCCTCAGGACAGGAGGATTACAACATTACAGCCTCTCCCTATCGGGATCAAGCCTTATAGTGTCTCTTCTTCCATGCCCATACCCCAGGCAGCCATGGCTTTCTCAAATTCCAACAAGAATAAATATGGGATTTTGATACAGTGTAAAAATACTGAGGATATATCCCACATCCTTTCAAATCTTGGCTCAGTTCAACTGGGTGAATTACTGGTGTTTCTCAAAGTCTTCATAGAATGCCAGTTTGAACCTGTCAGTATGTTCTCTGACAGCCAATATGCT